AGTGAGCGGCCGTCCAGAAGCCTATCTCTTCCAGATTCAAAAACCTACCCCTCCTCACCAGAGATAACCGTTTCCATATTTACCACCTCTAAATGCATTCTTAAACACCTTAATTTTTCAAAATTTTCTTATTTTAACAGCTTTGTAGAAATATAATTCACATACAATAAATTGCACATATTTAAAGTATACAATTTGTGTCTTTCCTCTCTGGATGCTTTTAAGATTTTTATTTTTCATTTTAAAGCAGTTTGACTATGATATGCCTATTTTTAAAAAACTGCTTTATTGATAAACTGACATACAATAAATTACACATATTTAAAGTGTACAATTTGATGTTTTGATACGTATAAACACCTATGACACTATCATCGTAATCAAGAAAATAAACATATCTCTCACCTCCAAGAGTTTCCTCATCCCCTTCTGTCATCCTTTTCCTCTTATCACATCCCCCTACCCCAGGCAGTCACTGATCTGCTTTCTGTCAATATATATTAGTTTGCATTTTCCAGAGTCTTAGGTAAACAGAATCATATGGTATGGACTCTGGTATGTACTCTTCGTTGGCCTGGCTTCTTTCTCTCAGCATAATTATTTTGAGATGCATCCATATTGTTCCACATATTAATGCTTATTCCTTTTTTATTGCTGAGTAGTATTCCATTGTATGGATATACCATAACTGCTTATCCATTTACCTATTTATTGATAGACTTGGCTTGTTTCCAGTTTCAGGCTGTTACAAATAAAGTTGTTATGAACATTTGGGTACATGTCTTTACATGAACATATGCTTGCATTTATCATGGGTAAAATACCCAGGAGGATAATGGCTAAATCATATCGTAGGTAAAAGGTTTAACTTTTTAAGAAAGTGCCAAACTGTTTTCCAGTGTGGTTGTATCATTTTACATCTCACCAGCAGCATGAGGTACAAGAGTTCTTGTTCCTTCAACATTTAGTATGTTGATCTTTTAAATTTCAGTCATTCTAATAGGTGTGTATTATCTCAATGTAGTTTTAATTTGCATTTGCTATGACTAATGACATTGAGCATAATCTGTTCACATGCTTATGTGCCACCCATACATCTTTCATTAAGCATCTGTTCAGATCTTTTGCCCATTTTTAAGCTGGGTTGTTTGTTTTCTTATCATTGAGTACTGGAGTTCTTTATATATTCTGGGTACAAGTATTTTATCAAATATATTTTGTAAATATTTTTTCCTAGTCTGTCGCTTTTCTTTTCATTCTCTTAACAAAGTCTTTTGAAGAGCAGAAATTTTTAATTTTGATGAAGTGTCGTTTCTAAGAAATCTTTATGTAACCCAAAGTCACCTGTGCTTTCTCCTATGTCTTCTTCAAAAATTTGTAGTTTTAGGTTTTCCTTTAGGTCTATAGTAAACTTAAAATTACTTTTTGTGTGCAGTGTGAAGGATGCATAGAAGTTCTTTTTTTTCATATGTAAGCCAATTGCTCCAGCAGCACCATTTGTTGAAAAGGCTATCCTTTCTCCACTGAATTGCTTTTGCATCTTTATTGAAAAGTAGTTGTCCATATTCTTACTAGTCTATTTGCGGACGCTACTCTGTTCCATTAACCTATTTGCCTATCCTGACACGTTAATACCACACCATCTTGATTCCTGTAGCTTTAACAGTAAGTTTGATACCTTCAACTTAGTGTTAATCCTTCAACTTAGTTGTTCCAAACTTGTTTTGGCTATTCTTGATCCTTTGTATTTCCACATAAATTTTAAAATCTGCTTACTAATTATTAAAAAAAAAAATGTCCTGTTGAGATTTTTAGTTGGATAATGCTGTATCTATAGATCAATTTAGAACGAAATATCTTTAAAATACTGGGTTTTCTAACCTATGAACATGGTGTATCTCTCATGTATTTTTCTTTAATTTCTCTGAGCAATGTTTTGTAGTTTTCAATGTAAAGACGTTGTCCATCTTTTGTCATACTTACCCTTAAATATTTCATATTTTCATTATGAATAGCATTATTAAATTTTTTTATTTCCAATTGTTCTTGATGGTATATAGCAACACAACTGATTTTTATATATTGATCTTGTATTTTGCAACTTTGCTAAACTTACTTATTAGTTCTAGGAGCTATTCTACAGATTCCTTGGATATTCTACATAGGTCATCATGTCTTCTGCAAAAAAACCCCCACCAGTTTTACTTCTTTCTTACTAATCTGAATGCCCCGATTTCATTTTTTTTACCTTACTGCATTGGCTATAATCTCCAGTACGATGTTGAATGTTGTCCCTAAGTTAGAGAGAAAGCATTGGATGTTTGACCATTAAGTATGATATTAGTTGTAGGTCTGTGTAAAGGCTTCTTTTTTAGGATAAGAAAGCTCTTTCTGTTATTGATTTCCATGCCACTGTAGTTAGAAAACATTATTTTCTATGATTTAAATCCTTTTAACTTTATTGAGGCTTGTTTTATACCACAGAAGGTATCATCTAATTTTTTTTTTTTTGGGTGTAACACATTAAGTGTTAACTATTGTGTTTTGGATGCAGCTATATAGTAGCCCAGCACATCTGAACCGCCCCCGTCATCAAATAAATATCTCGTCTTAATCAATTAGTGCGACCAAGAAGTTAGCATGTCAATAACAATAAACAAGGAGTACAGGATAAAAAGAGAAAGGTGGGAAGACATTACATTTCATTATAAAATGAGATCTGGCACCTAATTTCTTAAAACAAAAATAACAATAGTAATAACTTACAAACTTTGACTGAAAAATTTTTTTAAAATAATGAAATCAGTATATTTTACCTGCTAAACAGATTGTGTTGATTATTAAATTGGCAAAATCAACCCACCAAATAACTGGAAACAAATACTAACCTGAGCAGCTCCCAAAGGGGGAACACGTAAACGTTTCATAGCTTTTTGTCTGTCACCATCTTCAAGTTCATTGGTCACTACAGCCTAGAAAGACACATTATTAAATGTTCACAAAGGTTATACTAAACTTGAGTATTGCATAAATAATTCTGAACCATTTATACAAAGGAAAAAACTGTATTAACATTGCAATACTAAAAAAAAAAATGTAATACTAAATATACACCAATAACAAAAGAAGAATACAAGTCACGTGTATACATTTTTTTGACACCTCCGGTATATATGGTATTCTGATAACTTCTTGGTGAATGAGTACTGATAAAGCAAATGAAAAAAATCATGAGTAAGAATGTATATATTCAATGCTAGCAACTAATTATAAAGGAGAACAAAAATGAGGAATTATTTCATTAAAAATTAGACATGTAAATTATTGGAAATTATGTAGTATATAAGTGAGATTACTGTACCTCAGTTTCGGAGATGAGCTGGTTGATTTTCTTGCACGTATAAAATGGGGCCACTTCTACATGAGCTACTCGCCAATCTGCTCCACGAGATGTTTCCAGGATCTTGTCATGCTTTTTAAGGATTTTTCGAAACCCTGTAAAATTCAAATTCTACGGAAAGAAATGAGAAACACTACTATAATTTCACTACCATAAAAGATGAAAAATAATAAGCAGTATGTGTAGACAGAGCTGACTGAAGATTTGAGTCCCAAGGGAAGTGGCAACATTTTCATAAAACCATTTACTAAAGGATAAGACTCTTCTTTCTTATTTATTTATTCATTTCAAGGTAGTAAGCTATCAGTAATAGAAAGAAACCTTAACTATGAATCCTATTATTTCTATTTCAAAAAATTAATAGAAGTCCTAAACTCAAAACATTTTTATTTCCATTTTTCTAAATAGAATTATTTTCAAAATAGCTAATTCATATTATTTTGATTCTCGGATCAAAAGAATATTTTCAGAAAATATTTTGGATTTATCATGAACTGAACACATTGATAAGTTCTGTGCTTTTTGAAGGAGTGGTATAGCTACGCATTTCCCTCCTACTGCTATGCAAACATGTACGAACCAGCATGGAAAAGAAAAGATCATCTATTTCTCCTTTCATTTTGCTTCCAACCGCTCTCAGCCTGGGGGGATGGGAGTGCAAAGAAAACTCAGTAGAAAAGAAGAAGCGATCACACTTACAGGGTTTTGCTGATAATGGATAGGAGCTACCACTTTTCCTCCATTTCTACAATATCAAAATCCTACTTGTCTACATTTTCAAATTCTGTTGTTGTTTGATCAACATACAAAAAAAGCAAGAAACTGGATTTGCAAGGTTCTTTAAACCAAAGATCTCCCAAATTTGCTGATCACATATCCCCATTAGTAAAAAAATTGAGCACTCATTCCAAGTTAGGCTTTGATTGCTTGCTGGTTTGCTTAGAATTTGTTTTTTCATACTTTAATGAATCATCTTAAACTCTCTTTGGGGTACACACACCATGACTTGGAGGCTGCTTTCAATCAATTTTCCCTTCTCCTTATTCTCAAAGTAAACGTATTTATACAGAATAGATAGCTTCAAAGAACAGAGGATAGAGCAAAACTTTTATAATTAATAATTATTTTTGTTATCCCAAGGAGCTTTTTATAATGACCCATAACAAAAGCTTCTAGGAAAGTTAATAAAATAAAATTTAACAAGGGTATTTCTCTGTAACACACAAGCATAATTAATGAAATATGAAATGTTAATGTTTTACAGCATTAGATAGAAGAAAGAAGAAATATATTTTTGTTTCTTTTAAAAAATAAATTATAAAGCCTATGGATAAATATCAAAGGAAGGGAATTTTCCATTATATACATCTTATATAATTACTTTTCTATTCTTCTATAATGAAATTATTTTCCAACCAGGTTCTTCTTTCAATGATCAAATATTAAATTACCAAAGAAGAAAGTAGAATTATTAAAGAAAAAGATGGAAATAAGTATATGCATTAACAACTTAGATCACTGCAGATATGAGACTATAATAACTTATTTTAAAATTCCAATATTTACTCCGGTAATACTTTTGTTGTATAACCTTTAGTTTTTATATAATATTTGATGATCCTTACCACTGATTAGAAGTAATAATCATAAGAATAAAATGGAAAAAGAATAGTGCATATGGTCTCTCTAAAGATTAGAGAAGTGCTTTTGTCTATTTGTTTATTATTGAACAGATCATCTGTTTTTCAATAAATTCTTTATAGATTTAACTATAAATCCAAAATTCAGCATACATGAGAGTTCAACTTTTCAGACTGGATTTTAAAAATATTGAGTGATATAACAGCCTAGGTGTTTAGTCTGTATACACATTTGCTGTGACTTAATTTCTTTTCTCTTGCAAGATTTCTTTAAAAATACAGTTATATTGCAGCCTGTGGATAATAAAGCTGGAAGGATTCTTAGTGGTAAGTTGAAAAGTCAGTATCTTTTATATTATTAGTGTTAGTTGCAAGAAAGTTAACTGTCCAATTGCTTTTATGGAAATTTTGCTATAGGTTTGGAGGAATATAAAAGCTCTTACATAGCCAACAGTGGTGGGGCAGACATATATTATTTCTTATTCCTACTCACCTCTGCCAGAGGTACCTCTAAATATGGAAAGTAAACTAGTAGTCCTTGAGTCAAGGGCTACTCCTGAACATTGTACAAAAAGGTTTTAGAAAACTGATCTTCAAAAATTGAAGTCTTGTTTACACTATTTTACCACCTCTGATAACATGGTTTTAGCCAATAAGAACATAAGCTATCCGAATAAAAACCTAAAGAATAATGACATGCTAAGGACTTCCCTTTTTGGGGTGGCCCATCAGTACAGCTCAAGGTAATTCCATTTAGTACCATTTCTCAATTGTGTAAAGGTTCCATGCTCCAGAGAAAGAATCTAAGTACCTGATAGTTCTGCAGCAGGATAAGACTGAGGTAGAACTCGCTGAAGGCCAGTTTAAGGTCTTTAATATTCCTATGCTGGACGCGTTCCTCGTGGGACAGGTGGAAGACTGGCTTTCTGCGCTGCCGCAGCGTCGTAACGCCAGTGCTTTCTTTCTGCACATCCAGGGATGACTGCAATTCATTCTGAAGTGTAGCAAACCTGCGCTGAGCCTCTGCAAGCTTTTCTATAAGGAATACAACAGAACTGTCAAATCATCAAGATAAAAATGGTGGTAAAAGTTCTCACTGACTCGTCTCAAATTTTACTAATTGTTCTAGTTTGTTTTCCTAAAATTTCTAGGAAAAAAACGTTAACGTGTAATGTTTAGTACTGGATACGAAAAAACAGTTTTGGTATAGCACCCTCCTTTCATTCTATCCCATACTTCCCTCCCTGCAAAACCTCAAGTGTACCCTTTCTTTTCACAGATGAAATACTGAATTAAAAAAGCCACTAAGAGTAAGAATGCAAAATGGTACAGCAACACTGTAATTTGGAACAGTTTGGCAGTTCTCAAAAGGTTAAACATAGTTACCTCAAGATCCAGCAATTCCACTCCTAGGTATAGATTCAGCAATTTCACTCCTGATTACCAAGAGAACTGAAAATATATGTTCACACAAAAAGTAGTACACATACACAAACTTGTATTCACAATAGTAAAAAAGTGGAAACCCATATGTCCATCAACTGATGAATGGTTAGGCGAAATATGGTATATATGTACAATGGAATATTATACAGCCATAAAAAAGAGTGACGCATGGGTTCATGCTATATAACATGGATGAATCTTGAAGACATCATGGTAAGTGAAAGAAGCCAGAAACAAAGTACCACATATTGTATGATTCCATCTATAAAAAATGTCCAGAACAGGTAAATCCATAGAGACAGAAAGCGTATCAGTGGTTGCCAGGGTCTTAGGGGAAGGAAAAATAGAATAGGGCAGAGATTTGTCCTCTCTGGAACAAATGTATTCTTCATATGGATGTGCCTTCCCTGCTCATAATGAATTGTCCTGCTAGCACCACTATTCACTAGAACGCCTTATCCATTTTCATGATATTCCATACAGCTTTGTTTCTGATCAAGGAACTCATTCATTTCACAGCATAGGTGGTAAAGCAATGGGAATATCCATGAAGTAAAATGGTCTTACCACATACCCAGAAATAGCTGGCCTAATAGAAAAGCTTACTGACATGAGTTAGAAGACAAAACTCTGAAAGGATGGGCTTCTGTCCGAGACCATTATATGGTGCTGTCCCAACCACGGCCAAAATACAGTCTAGGAATCAAGGGGTAAAAGTGTAAGTGGTTCCCCTCACTACTAAGCCTAATAATCCACTCACATAATTTTTGCTTCCCGATCTGCAACTTGAGCTCAGCCTACTGGTTGTTCTGAAGGGGAAATGCTTCTTTCAGAGGAGTACAGCAATGGTTCCACTGAACTGGAAGATGAGACTGCCACCTGGCCATTCTGGGCTCATCATACCACTGAACCAGTAGGCAAAGAAGGTGTTTACTGGTTAAAGTGATTGATCCTGATTACCAAGGGGACAGTGAGTTCTTGATCACACAACAGGAGCAAGGAGGATTGTGTCTGCAACCCAGGAGACTCTCTGGAACACATCCTAGTACTTCCATAACCAATAATAAAACTTAATGGAAAACTACAGCAATCATAAAAAAGACAGAATATTGAGGGTTCAGACCCTTTAGGAATTAAAGTTTGGGTCATCCCATCCAGTTAAAAACCCTAGCCAGCTGGAATTCCAGCTGAGGGCAAAAGGAGATATGGAATGAGTAGTGGAAAAAGCAAATCACGGGTATCAACTATGGCTTTTTGATCTCCTTGCTGTCTTTTACATATCTTATATTTTCCTATCTAATTCTTTGTGTTGTATTCTGGGTATCTACTTCAATTCTATCTTCCAGTTTATAAATTCTCTCTTAAGCTCTAATTTACAGTTTAATTAAGATATTAATATCAGTGATTATATTTTCATTTTTAAAAGTTCTAATTGGTTATTTAAAAAAGTCAGTTTTGACAGTTTCTTATTCTTTGCTCATGGCTTTTTTATGATACTTTTATGTCTTTACCCAAATTAAGCATATATTTTATTTTATATCTAATAATTTTGCATATTTTAGGCAGCATTTTAGTGTTTTGTAGTGAGAGGTTTTCATCATTTCTTTCTAGTCTTCCATATTATAAGAAAAAGCACTATTCACCTATTTTCAAATCTCACACTGAAGTCAAAGGGAAAATGAATCTCAGGGTTATTTTTATACGAGTTAGGCATTTCTGTTGCAAATGTGTTTGTTTTGTTATTGTCATGAACAAACACAGTACAGAACACTTCTTGGTTCTTTCTTGGTTCACAGGGCAATTAGTATCTCAGTAATTTTTTCTTGATGCTCCTAGGCGAAAAGATATACCTAACACTGCTGTTTATTAAGTAGTTAGGTTCAAACAACTTAAGTATTTATGCCCTAACCACTTAGTAGCCATTTGAAAAAAAAAATATTATACACAATTAAAAACACATATATAATAAAAGATGTGAGGATTTATTCAAGTATATAAATTACTATGCTGATTAAAAAAACACCCTCAGGTAATTAGTAAGAGTCCAAATCCAAAATATCATAAGTAATATGAATGATCAATTTTTATTGTTAAAGGAGTGACATGTGAATTTGCTATTTGTTTAGCTTCCTTAGCCTGGTTGTCAATACATAAATTTTGTAATTATTTACATCTTTCATTATACGATTTAAAAAGTAAGAAGTCCAAAAAATGGAAAGAAAGAGGATCTGCTACTTCCTGTGTGCCAGCAGTAAGTCAAGAAACCATGCCTCTCCATCTGGCAAACCCCCTACTCATTTCACACCACTAATCTCAAGTACCATTTTCTGTGTAAAGTCTTTCTTGCCTAACGATTCTCAGTTACTGCATATAACAAGAAGCTCCCTCCTTAGGACTCTCAAGGGGCCTCATACAAACATGGATAGCACAGTGCATATAATTCCTTGTTTATATGTTTGCTTCATTGACTGAGTTCTCTGAGTGCAATGGTTCTATAATCTTCATTCTTTAATGAACAATTTATTTTTTAAGAGATTTTTTTCAGGTATACTGTACACACCATAGAATTCACCCACTGTAATAATACAGTTTTCTGATTTTTAGTATATTTGTAGATTTGTGCAAACAACACCACAATCCAATTGTGGAACATTTCCATCCCCCTGTAGTTCTTGTCCTGGTTGCCGGCTGTCAATCCTCACTCCTACCCCTATCCCCAGGTAACCACTGATTTGCTTTCTGTGTCTCCATAGATTGGCCTTTTCTGGGCACTTTATATAAAGGAATCTTACAATATGTAGTCTTTCGTGTCTGGCTTCTTTAACTTAGCATAATGATTTTGAGGTTTATCTATTTTGTAGCACGGATCAGTAGTTTGTTCCTTTCACTGCTGAACTGTATTTCATTGTGTGGATACACCGTATTTTGTTTAAATATTTGTCAGTTGATGGATATCTGGATTGTTTAGAGTTTTTTTACTATAAATTTTGCTATTAATATTCATATACAAGTTTTTGTGTGGAGTACCATCTTCACTTTTGTATCATAAAAGCTTGATATAGTAAGCTCAATCATGTTTGTTGAATAAATGAATACGTGAATGAATGAATTCTGAATGAATGAATATGTAGGAAAAAGTTCTGTGTAGTAATCCAAGTTCCTATATAGAAATAGAGGAGAAATGAAAATTTCAGGGGTATTTTGCTACCTTTTTTAAACTAGCGATTCTCTTCCTTAAGGGCAAGACTATCTAGGAGAGCATATGAGACAGACAGAGCCCCTGGGTGAGAGTAGGGAAATATAAAGAACATGTAATTTGAAAAAATAATATTCAATATAGTAATATTCAATATTACTATAGTTATGAAGTGAAACTTTTATACTTATCAAAAGGGGCATAGGCTTAAAAAGGATGAAAAACACTGCTTTTGACAACAAGTGTCCAAATCTATTTTGTAATGATCTCTCAATTTTCAGATCTCAAAAAAACTCAAACATATGGGATAGCACAAAACCTGGAAAAAGGTATATGTATATATGTGTATACACCTTTTGGTCTATGAACATACTTTGGTCTATGAATGAAAATCTACAAATACGCTTGTAAGAAATAAAAATGAACATTTCAAAGCAATTTTACAAATATCGATGAAAACAGCCTATTTGGCAATAAATTCCAATTTCTACTCCTGCCAGTAAATCAAGTGACTGTGAATAAGAACTGATTATTTTAATATATGCTTAATGCCTTAAGATCTCATATAAAAAATATATGATAGAAATTTCCAATAACCATTCAAGAACTTTCAAAGCACCTATTTGCCCCTCAAAGAGCTAAAATAAGGGCTAACAAGATATTTAGTTTTCACCCAATTTATTATTTTTTTACTTTTAGAAAAAAGTTATTTCAGAACTACAAGCTATCTTCAGAATAGCAAAACCATTATATTGTTATGCAATTGAAAAATAATTCTTGATAGAATCAAGTTAGTGTCTTAGAATACTTTGTTTGTTTACTTGTCCTGCAATATTACCATCTCGTTGATTCATTTTATGGACCTCAGTGTTAATTGAAAATACAAAGTAAGTTTATAAGAATGTTGACCCATCGTAGATGATTAAGGATAGTTAGTCTTGTTCTATTACATGTAATTTTTGTTCTGCTTTTATCTTGTATTCTTATTACCTGAAATTGTTACACCTCAAATACTGAAGTCTAAAATCTCCATGTGTGAATAAAACATCTTATTTCTCCAATTTTCTCTCTGATCACCAACTTACTCCTTATTCTCACAACTCCAGCCTCAGCAGACTATCTGTTACCCTACTCACCCCTAAATATGTCCTGTACTTTAAGGTCACTATGCATCTGGACAGCTTTTTCCCTTGCCCTGAAACACTACACTCCAACTCCCCCGACTGCTATCTCCAAATACAGTCCTCCAATGGCATTTGACAAATGCCCACACGTTTTCAAAGACCCAATTTAAATGGTACTTCTTCTGGAGGCTTTTCCTCAATCCCTTTCTTTTTCTCCAAGTAAAGTCAATGCTTCTTCATGTCTGTTTCCACAGTACCTTGCAAAACTCTAAAATACCAAGTATCATGCTGTACATATAAAGTAGATATAACTGGTAAATAAACGCTGATATTTTCTATTCGACTACATTCAATTCATAGTTTTAAAAAATTCCTGTGATAACCCCAGGTACTTTAATTTCCTGACCCATTTATTGGGCCGTAACCTACAGTTTAAAAGAGCATTAATTTAGATGATAGTCCGCTTTTTTTGTGTGTGAATATGCCATCCTAGAAATGTGTGGGTTACCCCATGATCATGGGCATTGCCCAAACTTTTAGAAAGAAACACAAGAAAAGAAAGAAGGGAAGGAGGAGGAAAGAAGAGAAAGAAAACGAAGCTGGTTTCACATGGCTTGTTTTTAATAGAAACCTATCGATCATGTTTGTTTTAACAAAATGAAGGAACATTTATTGTGGATAATACATAAAAATTTTTAATTTTCATCAGATGTGTCAACAAAAAACAAGTGAGACTGATCGCTTTAATTCACTTCACCCCACCCTCACCCCCCATCTTCTAATAGCTCTTAAGTAACTGATTCTGTTGTAATGTACTCAAGATTCAAGATAATCATGATATAGGAAGAAATGCTATGACCATGGGAATTCTAAACAATATTACAGACCAATGATCACCTTTTTTAAATATATAACTGATCTACATTTTAACACACATCTAAGCAAAGAGCAAAACCAGCCACTAAGTCAGTTTAAATATGTGGGTACTAGATACATATAATCACTTGTAAAATGAACATTTAGTATTTCAGTGAAAGAGATTCTTATGTTTCATTACACATACTCAGTGGTGTAACAATATAAAGTCTCAATAAGAATAAAGAAAAATAAACATGTAGCAAGACACTGCATAATTAGGATTAGAGGGTTAACTGTATACTAGGAATAGTTCCGGGTAATTATTATCCAATTAGTCTTGGATTTATATGAAGCCTGAAAATATTTAACAGCCAAGAAATAAATCTGTTTCTATTGCCATGATCTTCCTACTTACAAATAACACTACTACAATCTTCTTCCTTCCCTCCCTCCTTTTTGGCAAAGAAAGGAAAAGCACATAATATTTCTGTGAGTTCCTAACAATAACTGAAGCCAAAAAATTAAGATAGGCCCGAAAAAAAACTCCTGAAATTGTTTAGAAACAAAGGAAAAAGCTTTTGACTGTTTAAAACATACCAATCAATAAAAAGGGCTTGCCTGTTTTAATTGTGGAATATTAAAAGCAACAGATACATTCTGATTTTTTTTTTTAACGTATGCACATAAAAAACACTGCTGAGAAGTTAAGCATTTTGAAAGGAGAAAGAAAGCAAACTGATTCAAGATGGGAGAAAGATGTAACGTGAAGTGTTTGCTATTACCAATGGAAAAGGACCTCCCCTGGTCACCACAATGGTTTCTAGCACTGCAGCCTTCAGGATCGAGACCGTTTTTAGTGTCAGACGAGGCCTGGGAGACTTCCGGATCAGCGATTAGTAATGTTATCACCCAAAAGGACTACTCCTTTAAAAAATTACCCTCTCCTCCCAAAGTTTTCAAATTTTAAAAGACTTTATCTATAAATCTAAATAAATCCTCATATTTTATTAACCAAAAATATGTAATAAAAAATAAAGAGCAGAAAATCACTTACATCAGGTTTTCTGAAATACTGAAAGTACCTTCTGACTCCTCACATATGCACCCCCGAGAGGGCTGGGAACCAATTTGCTCATTTTACAAGCAAGTATATATAGAAGTGTAGGAAGGTTAAATGGTAAACTTCTTCTAAAAAAAGCAATAAGGTTCAAACATCCAAAATGTAATTGGTAGGTAAGAGAATTGCTATGAAAATAAATAGCCACATTTTGGTAGTGTTCATTCTGTTTTGTTTGTTTGGCTTTGACAGTATTTGTTTTGGGTATTAAAAGATTTCAGGCAAGACTATAACTCACTGAGAAAACGACTATGTTTAGCTGACCATTAAATATTTTTGTGAGATGTAAGTGGGGGGAGGCAGGTGTATAATCTGAACTCACCCCTGTATTACTTACAGTTTTTCATGTGCCCTAGTGTCTGAGGACTGCAGACTACAAGACAACCTGCCAATGAAAAGGTGGCTAAATAAGGAGGAAAATGATACTGTCTAGGACAAGTGCCAAATTCTATTTCTGTCAATCATGTCTTCATATTACCCATCACTTCCTGACCTGGCAAAAAGTCAGTCTGAAGACTATCAATTTGTACCAACTCTGTGATGACATCAAGAGACATGCCCTAAAGGCCCTGCCAATACACACAGAAAAAAGGAAGTCACTCAATCATAGCCCCCAAGGTTTTAATAGTAGAAAGACTAAAACTATTTTTGAAAAGTAACCAAGTCTAAGATATCATTTTTCAAACCAAGGCTTATACTTCAATATAGGTCCATGAACGCAATTTAGTGGATCATAAATTACCATTGTAAAAATCAAATATAGAAAACAGAATATACAAAGAATAGAATATTGTATTACAAGTAGTGAGGACAAGTATTGTTTCATGATAAAAGTTAATTATTTAAATATATAGCATATACACACATATAGGTGCATACATACATAATTATATACATATCTATGTGTAACAAATATAAAAGGTATGTATATATTGTTAACAGTAGATATCTATTTTGCTTTGTAAACGAAGAAGCATTATTTATTCTTTGTGATCTAAATTATCCATTTAAAGTTGGACTCAGAGATCCTTCCTCAAAAAATCACAGTAAAAGAAAATGCTAATAAATTCGACCTCATGTGTTTTTCATTTATAGCCTTAGATCATATCCAATAGCCTTTCCTCGGCCTAAACACTCTTTCCACCACAATGCCTTCCTCTTTTAGTCTCCTCTTCCTCATTTTACATTACATGGCTCTCTACACTGCTGGTTCCTCTCTATCCTTCTTGCCTACTCATTATGGAAATTATCTTTGTCCTTGAATATTGCCATTCCTTCTGTACATTTTCCCCTTGCTGAAAATCTTTCCATTTGTATGGTTTCAAATAATATTTCTATTTCATCTCTGCCTTCTAGGTACTGGTGATGTAGTGAGGGGGCTATGTACATATGCCACGTCCTTTAATGGCTCTGCCTTTGCATGAACTGTCCCCTCTGCCTAGGAAGAAGTCCAACCATCAATGCAAGGTGAGGAGGAGGAGGACACAGAGTTAAGGTATTTGCTTCGTTTTTCGTTTATTTTTTTCTTTAAAGGGAGTGACTTTCTAAGGAGACTAAACCAGTAAAAAGGGAAGTTAATGATGCATTTATTCAATAATTCTTGGAGGAGACAATTACTGGAGCAAGGTCTCAAGGAACTGAAATTCAGTCAGTAGTTGTACAGATTTCCCATGGATTGAAGAGGGGTGTCTTTTCTACAAAGATTGGAGGAAAATTACTAAGGGTAAGAATGTCTATAGGTATTTTGGGGAAGGAATGGCCTAGATCTGAGTAAGTATTACACACCAAAAGGAGGCGAAGGCCTTTATTTTTATTTGCAAAGTAGGAGATGATGGAGCACGATGGGGAAGATAGGTCACAGAATTCAAGAAAATGAAATAGGGTTTAGATGAACACTTTGGAGTATGGAGAAGGGCATTGACTAGGACCCACAGGAAGCTCTGAGGACACAGTGAGAATACAACAATGAATTTACAGTGGTTCAGATTTGTTCTGCTATATAACTTTTTTCCAGCTGTCCTAAGCAGCCCAGAGGTAGGCATGAAGGAGGCAAATGGCTGGATGGGTCCACAGTTGGAGTTTCGCTAGGCAGAAGCATTACAAAGCAACAAGGGTAAAGGGGTTAAAAGCACAAGGGACAGAGTAGTTAAAATAACTGATGGAGATGTAATTCTGGGAGGGGCCTGACAACTGCAATACAATGAGGGAGTCAAGGAACATGAGTTGAGCTCTGTGAGATGGAAAAAGAGATGTTAAAAAGGTAGGGGAGTAAATATATACAGAATTTTTTTTAAAGAGTAAGACATAAATAAATACAAGTCCTAATGTTTTCTTCTCAACTGCAATTACATCTGGTAGATGCCATTGTGGAGACCATGTCCCAGAGAGAGATGGGAGTGTTCCAATGCAATGGAAAGGCACGAAGCCGACGTAATTAAAATGCTGGAACTGTGATTCAGCTCTGGGAGAAAGGATAAAACCAAGTTTCTGACTCTTTAAAGCACTGGACTGAGCTAGAGTGAAGTCTGTGAAGTTCTATCAAGGTGCTGCTTTACAATGAGGTCCTGAAATCCTTGCAACTGCAAGAGAAGCTAGGCAATGCCCACATAAGGCTTACTAAACACGGAAGTACCAGATGTGTTCCCACCTTGGCCAAAGTCAATGCCCACTTCAGGGCAGTACAGCAAGGAAAACAAGCCCCCATTTTTTAATGATGATCAGAAGTTTAAACAATGACACAGTTGAGTTTCTCCTCCCTTAGCAGCAGAAATTGTCTCTTATATGTTGAACCGAAAAACCACTCACCTGAATAAAATGTGTTGATTTTGGCAAGCTCCTTTTCACAGGTTTGGAAAAATTTTTCTTCAAACTTGGCAAAATACCTCTTTACCGTGTCCTCATCTGTAACTGAAACCAAGGAAAACAATATTTAAATTTAATGTCTGAAGGCCGATTGGGAAAACTAGGGAAATAAAATTTAACGTTACTCCTTTCTTAGTCTTCAAAATAACAATACACGTATTTCTTTGGAAAAAAAAAATGAACGGTGAACCAAATTCAAAAAAGACTAATCAAAGGCCTCTTCACAGGAACACAATTATTTTTTTAATTGAATGAGACTCTCTAAATCTCCACTATAATGAATATATAGTGGTGGAGAAAATAAGCGCCCTAAGACTTCAGAGGAGAAACACACTACTGTAGACAGAGGTGTCAAGGACGAGTCAAGGTGTTGGCAGTTGAAATAAATAGGCCTCCGCAAGAGAGTAGATCAAATACTTCAAGGGAAAAAAAGATGCAAGAGAAAATGAAGACACGAATGCGTAACATGTTTCTGGTAAAAAATGAGTTGATTGTTCTATCTATATTAAATTGCTATCTACTCATTTTTACTTCAGCTGTACCAGACCCAGAAAAAGAGATTTAGAGTGACGGTTATAAATTAGATATTCCAAACCTCCAGTTGCAGGGTAAGAACACAAATGAGTTGAACTGTTGAGTGGCTATGAAAGTATGGTGATAAATGACAACCACCAGCTTCAGGAGAGGGAGAGGTATGGATTCTGGCAAACTGGAGAGCACACGTCCATCTAGTTAGTTGCTGCCATGTGGTGATATGTGACCCAGGTTGTCAGGTCTTCCCATTTTTCAGGAGAAGCCATAAATCTAGATATTTTATAAAAACACCATGTGGGCCAATCAATATAAGTCTCTGTAGGCGGGATTCACTTCGTGAGTTCTGTCATATTGCATACAGATTTACTGAACCCCGTAAGTACAGATACATATGTATCTTCAGGAACCCCCAAGCCTAAAAGGATACGTTTTCTGCCCAAGTGAAGTCTGACTAGACTCCAGATGCTCATCATAATATAGAACCATCCTATTTCTGGATCTCTGGGGCACTCAAAGCTTGAAATGTCTAGAAAAAGTATTGGTTCTTTTATGTCCCCCAGATGCCCCAAATCTTAGTATAATCCCAGAAACCCTTAAATAATTCACCTGTCCAAGAATAAGAGAAACAGTATTTTCCTTAGTAATACACAACACAAACACACCTCTACATACTAATTCACAGCACCATAGATATTTTAAAGAAAAACAAATCTTAAAATGAAGTTTTAAAAAGCATGTTGAATTTAGTCATTTCATTCGAAATAATACAAATGTAAAAAGAAAAATAGTACTACACAAAACCTTTACACACACACACACACACACACACACACACACACACACACACCCTATTTCTTATGCTTTAGAACTGAACAGATAATGTAGGATTCTATTGATTTTGCAGTAAACAAGGGATGCCACTTTCATTTCCTCATGTAAGCTAAGCAATTTGGGTACAATAAAGACTACAGCTGCTCAAAGCAACTGAGAATTATTATTTTTTTAACCATAAAGCAGGTCAAACTTTTTTTTAAAGCTAACCTTGAGTGAAAGATGCTCCATTGAAACAGATGCTGCTCTTATGATTGCATCTGGCTATAGCTGATGTAAAATAAGAGAAATATCTTATTCTACTTAATTACTTTTTCCTCCCACTTTTATTTTATTCTCTATAATATTGTTAGGACAGAAAACACAAAGCAAAAAGTGGGCTGGATCACATTTACTTTGTTTCCCTATTAACAGACAACTTTCATTAACCTAAATATGATGGAAATAAAGTTTTTCAGCAAAGTGACTTAAACATAGCTTCTGTTTCAAGAATAATTTTAACATACATATATTAATGTTTCTATAGAGACTGCATATTCAGCAACATCAACTATTTAAATATTACTAAGAACCTAGAAATGAAAAAACCTAAGCCTCTGAGAAACTAAAACATATGTAATAAATTTTATGTATTAAAGTATGAACATTCTATCCACAAATCAGTCTCATATGAATTCTCCATTTCCTCAATTTGGAGACTGTTTTATCTAAAATACCATCAGTGTGTTATTTCGTTTCCTAGTATACATATAACTTAATAACCACAAATCAGGAGAGGGCAGAGTAAGGTTACAGCAACACTAGGAAGTAATAGCAAACAGAGAAAAGAGAAAAAAACTATAGATAAAAATAGCAAGAATAGCTAAGCAAAGTAAATTAAATAAAGGAAAATATTCTCTCCTTTTAGATTTCGAAAGACACAATAACCAACTGGGATTAGAAGCACACTATTTATTGGAAAAGGAATTAGAAAAATACAACAAAAAGAACAAAAGCAAGTGCCTAGAAATAAAGCTATATATATAAGGAGATTTAGATTCAGATAGAGGGGGCTTCAAATGAGTGATAGAATGGGCGATATAACAAATAGGGTTAGGTCAGCTGACCATCCATTTAAATAAACTCCAAATGGAGTTAAAGAAACAGTATTATAAAATACTAGAAAAAACAATAACGCTACATGGGGAAAGTCTTCCTAAACACTATACAAACCAGGCCATGAAGGGAATAACTGATATTCTCACAAAATGACATATCTCCATTCCATAGATATGGATACCATAAGCAAAGTTAAAAGACAAGAACAGACATGAAAAAACATATCTGCAAATAAAATAAAGGATTCATTTGCAAAATATATTTTTAAAAATTCTTACAAAACAATATTCAAAAGATATGCTATAAGAAAAATGGGTAAATTAGAGCAATTCATAGAAAAACACAAATGGCCAATGAATAAATAAAAAGATGCTCAACATCCTAGATATTTTTCAACCATCATATTGGCAATCACTCCCTGTTGGTAGAAATGTAAATTTGTAAAGCCTTTTAGAAAGACAATTAGATAGTCTATCAAAATAAAAATGTTCAAATGAGTGCATGTGCAAGGATGTCATGCACCATTACTTTTAATAATGATGAAGAAAACAAAGTGATGTCCAACAAAAGGGGAACAGTTAAATAAATTACAATATCATACAACACTATACAGTCATTTAAAAAATAATATACATATATACTGGTATGTCTGAAAATCCCAAAACACACTGAGGGAAAAAATTTAAATAACAGAATATATATAGCAGGTTCTCATTTATGAAAAAATATATGCATAAATTAATATTCATATGCACATTCACTGAAAGAAAACTGGAAGGATGCATGCCTAACTGTTAATTATGGTCATCTTCTTTGAGAGAGGAGTAGGTGTGACAGAGATTCTCACATTTTGCTATATCTACACTTATTGTATCATTTGAATCTATTACAATGAAACATATTCTGAAGGAGAAATAAATTATATTGCATAAATACAGGGTATTAGTAACTGGAAAAAGAGAAACATGTCACATCCAAATTTTTAAATCATACGCGTACACAGTAACACCTAACGAGCATAACTAATTGAAAAGAGTATCGCTATCAGGATTTAGAGGTCCATAATTTCAGTCAGGAGTTGGTGGAATGCTGATTTACAAAATATCAATTTCTATTACAAGATGCTTCCTATACCCTATCTGCCGAATAATGTTACAAATCGGTAACTCTAAACTGGAGGAACAGAGAATTTCAGTGTTTAGAAATCAACTAGCACAATTCCCTTGTTTTACAGGTAAGGAAACACAGGTGTAGAGAGACTAGATAACATGAGGTTCCCCCTCCTCCCCAGTAAGAATGTAAGTTTTATAGAGATTCACTGCATATTCTTAATATAAAATAAAGAATATCAAAATGACTATGTGTTATATGAGTGTATGGGGCTGAACTGTGCCCTATCTCCCAAATTTATATGTTGAAGCCCTAATCCCCAATGTGACTATATTTGGGGATAGGTCCTTTGAGAAGATAATTAAGATTAAATGAATTCCTAAGGGTGGGGCCTTATTCCAATAGAACTAGCGTTTTCACCGGAGGAAGAGACATCCATCTCCCTTCCTACCTCTCTCCCCCTGGATGTGCACACTGACAAAAGGTCATGTGAGAAACAGCAAGACAGCCCCCTGCAATCCAGGAAGAGGGACCTTACCTAAAAGCTGGCACCTTGATCTTGCACTTCAAGCCTGCAGGACTGTGAGAAAATAAATTTCTTTTGTTTAAGCCACCCAGTCTGTGGTATTCTGTTAAGGCAGCCCTAGCAGACTAAAACAATGAACTTAACATGTCCTGAATTCAATAATTAGTCACGAAAGACTAAGCCTAGTTCAAAGAAAGCTAACACAAATAAGAGCAAATTTTAGCAAGATATATATCAATAATTATAAGATTAGCATCAACAGGCAAAAAAAAGGAAGACAAAGGGGTGAAAAAAATCTAGAATTGCTGAAGTATGACGCAGAAAACACTGCTGTAGAGAACCCTTTGCTTTGAGTTATATAAATATTTAAATAAATATTAATTCAATCAGTTATGAGAGAGAGAGAGAGAGAGAGAGAGAGAGAGAGAGAGAGAGAAGGCATATTTTTTTTGGTCATTTCTATTAGGGGCTTTACCTTTCATTTGTGGATGACAGGCACTTTCTTTCTTATCCACCCCCCAAATTACTAAGTTAACAGCAAAATAACCCTAAGAGTATTAATCAAGATAAAACATTCCTACTGCATAGCAACCACCATCAAGTGCTTTTTACAGCAATTTTCAGGAATACTTTTAATACCATCAAGTATCATCTTACTTTCACATACAATCACTCAGAAACCAATTCTTTAAACCCACTAATAACTTCTTCAAATATATGTTCCATTCAAATTTTTAGTGCTACTTTCAATTTTTTAAATTTCTACATTTGTGAGATATTGAAGGTAGGCATTATTATCTTTTTTATCTTTATAGAGTCTATGCCCAACATAATGTCTGGTATGCAGTATGTGCTCTATACATGATTTGTTTAAATTGTAAATGTTGAGACAATATTCATAATTTTTGTGAAAATTATGATGCTTTATTAAATTTAAAAAAACATA